TAAAATATATAAATATTTATTAATAGATAGAAGTAGCATAAGCAAAAATCTCAAATTTGATTTATTATTAATTTAAAAAATATAATTTTTAATTTATTTAAATTAATTCTATTATGAAAGAAATAATTAAGACAAAAAATAGCTTTAAATTTATACTAAAATAGTAACAATATTATAGAGATTTTATAAATTTATATTGAATTATTTAAATTTTATTCATAAAATTCTATAGATTTTTAGAGCATGTATTAGAGATATATACATTTACTTCAATAATTATCTATATGATTAGACAGAAGTAGGTAAAAATAGAATAATTTTATAATAACTTTTAGAAAGGCTTCTTAAAATCTTTATAGATATATTTTTGGCTTTACACATATTTGTAATTGATTGGTAGGTTAGAAACTTGATCAATATGTGAACCTTGTGTCGCATGTGTTGATAGCTTGTGGAATATCCTAACTATATAGCATACATATAGAAAATTTGCCTTGCAAATTAAGATATAAGTCTTATAAAGTCAACACATGTTGGAGGTCCTATAGAATATCACCACATAGCTTCTAGCTAGATAGTATATATAGAGACAAGAATGAAGCCTTCTTTACTCTTGTCAATGCTTTTCTAGTCTTTAGTCTTGTTTCAAGACTTTTTATTCTTCTTATCTTTGACAATATCAATTCTAATTTAATATTATATTATCTTTGAATGGTTATCTAGTCTTTTTGAATAACATAAAAGTATTTTGATCTTTCAATTTTTCAAGATTTATGTCTTTGACAACATATTTGTAAGATATTATTAAAAATAATTTATTATCTTAGGAGGCCATTACAAAGGATTTGAACAAAATTTGAAGGCCTTACAAGCTTCTTAGACTAATTTGGTGTTTCTAAAGTCCATAATATAGTAAAAAATACTAAAAATTATATTTTATTAATAGAAAATAAGAAGATGATCAACTCCTGTAGAAGTTATAAGAAAGAAAGAATACTTGTTTCATATAGATTGGTACACTTTAGATGTATGTAAAAATAAATGACCAAGGCATTGTGACTTCTTGAAGATGCTTATATATACTACTTATGTGAACTTTGGTGAGATTTGAATCCTTAATTTCTTAAGCAAGTTATCCTTGATGTAAATTATATTTTTTATATTTTTATTTTTTTACCTTTAATCTTTAAGTTATCATAATTTATTCCTATCAACTTAGATTTATGTATTTTTTAAGTCATTAAAAAAATAAAATATATATATATATACTTAAATAAATAAATATATATATATATATATATATATATATATATTTAATTAAATAAAAATCTAATAATCCAATTGTGACTAATTTTGGAGTGTGTAATTATATGATTTCATATCTTTCATTTTTTTGTTTTTTTTCTTATTTATTTTTATAGATTGTATCTTTTATTTTTCACCACCAACTATAAATAATTCTTGACTGAGATCATATTGTAATTTAGATTGAAGGGTGAGTTCTTTCTTAGTAAAAAAAAAAACTTTTGCATTCAAATTAATAAAGAGTAAAAAAGTAATAATAATAATTAAAAAAAAAATATGAAGAAATTACACATAATAAGTGTCCATAATTATTAAAAAATAAAAGTTGTGAAATATTAAATAATAATACGACAATGATTTTATTATATATATCTAAGTGTCATGGACATATACATTTACCTCAATAGTTACTTATATGATTAAGTAGAATTAGGTAAATATAGAATAATTTCATAAAGTCTTCTAGAATAGCTTCCTAGAAGCTTCATAGAGGCGGTTTTGACTTTAGATGACTTTATACATTAGAAACTTGGCCAAAAAGCTAACCATGTATTGGTAGCTTGTGGAACAAGTTATCTCTATGTAGTAGCTTGTGGAACAAGTTATCTCTGTGTAGTAGCTTGTGGAACAAGCTAACTATGTGGCACATACATAAATAACTTGCCTTCTAAGATAAGACATGTGGCTAATAAAGTCAACACATGTTGGAGGTCCTATAGGACATCACCATGTAGCTCTTAGTTAGATAGTATACCTGGAGGCAAGAGTGAAGTCTTCTTCACTCTTGTCAACGCCTTTCTAATCTTAGTCTTGTTTCAAGACTTTCTAATCTTCTTGTTTTTGGCAATAGCCATTCTAGTTAATATTACATCACCTTTTGAGTGACTTTATAGTTCTCTTCAGTGATAGAAGAGTGTATTAAGGATTCTCTTTCTTTGAGATTCATGTCCTTGACACTAGGATGTGTAGCATGATGAGATGCCCATGTAGTACAAAGAGGGTATCCATCTTAAAATCTTTCTTAATTAAACATGATTTTTTTATATTAAATTTTAATTCAAAATCCTAATTAAAATAATATTAATTTTTTATTTTATAATAAGAGATATCTATTTACATAAAAAAGAAATAATACTAATATATAATAATAATTAGGATTAATATTAATATTAGTTGATGTTAGATATTAATATTAACAACATCAATGGTACAAAAGATGCTTATTTAAATCACAAGATTCTTTCTTGATATGAAATTATCTACTATACAACATACATCTTTTATTTTAATAAAAAAGATAATTATAGCAAATAATAATATTTATTAAATTTATAACTAATATTAAGAATAATTTTACTTATATTTATATAAAAAAAATCTTGCAAGATTAGAAATCCATTTTAAATTATTCAAATGACTTGAAATCTATATTTTTATTATATCACCAATTTTCAAATAATCTATTTCTTTTCTATTAACTTTGTGGGTTCTAAGTTGCCTAGGATTATTTAAATTGTATATGTTAAGATGTATGTTACGAATCATTCATGTTTGTTTGTTTGTTTGTTCGTTTATTTTTATTTTGTTTATAGAAGATTTAATTACTTATACAGATATATTTTCCCCCAAGCATCAAAATACTAATATTTGTATTAATTTTGTAAATAATAAAAACCAATCTGGAATTCCAATGTAAAAAAATCTTGGCGCATTATTACAAAATATTGGAAGCTACACTTTATGTAACATTTTAGTTTCTATCTTTATAAAATTAGTACATGACTGTAACTAGTAAACTAATACTATTTTTTTTAATATATATATATATATATATATATATTTTTTCCTTAAGTATTTATTTATCTATTTTTCAATGATACGGGTTGTAAGAGTCTATATAAAATGTCTCAAAACCAAGGAAATCTCAGTCAAAGCTTACTTAAAGTATAGGATATATTTTTCAAAGTAAAAGCTCAGCTGCAATTTATATGGTTTTTATTCATTCAGTATATCATTTGTTTTTAGTTTTTGGTTTCTTCTGCTGGTACATGACACGGAAGTGAAGATTTTGTGCAAAAGACAAAACAGTGAAGAATTTAAGAAATAAATCATATAAATACTATTATTATTGGCCAAATTTTTGTTTACTTTATCACTAAGAACATTATTAAAAGTTCAACCTGTTTTTGTTTATAAGTGGGAAATTTATTAATTAGAGTTTGTAGACATTACATGAGATATTCATGACAGAAGCGATGTTCCTTATGTCCATACTTAAATATGTAAAATTTACATACTACACAATAAAAATTGAAAATTACACAGGAGGATTGAAGAAAAAAAAGGGAAAGAAGTAATCAGACATACCAAAACCCTATATGAACCTTTTGTTATGAATTATTAGCTAAAGTACTATCAAACAATGTTTCTGTAATTATAAAATAATGGGTAATTTATAAGGGATTCATAGTAGTCTAAAATAAAAAAAATTCCACTAAAGTACAAATGAAGTGTTATCTCAACGACGCATGATACTAATCCTAAATGCAAATGCGCATGTAGACTAAAGTAAGAATTAAATGTGATCGGATTCATAAACTTTGACTAAATGACAAACGGGCCCGCAACAGGCCGAAGGAGGGCGGGCCCACCGCAGCCCAGCCCAGCCCGAACCCAGCTGGGCGTATCCCAGTTGGTTCTTCACGACTGTATCCAGCTGCACCAGAGTCAGATTAGGCACAGTCTTGGCACAGCTGGATGACGATCTTACCGGAGGGAATCTTACAATCATGACCCCTAAAACGAACGAACTACATCCATCCACACCCACATTAACTCATCTACACGCAGAATGACAGCCCACACTTTCATCCGCTGACTTGGCCGTCGGGCTGTTCGCCCTGCCACATCAGCAATACCCCATCATCCTCCCCTTAACTGGGATTCCATTTCTGGCTTTTGTCATTTCTCGGCCTTTCACTTTATGCAATGGATTCATTTTATCGCCGAGATCTTTCTAGTGTTTAATTCTACTATCTTAGTTACGCATTTTATTTTTAAGAAAAATGACAATCGTGAGTAACACATTTACTGTGAATATTCGTCCAACGATTGATAAATGTTTCACGAGAGATTTATACATGAGGAAGCAAAGGAGAATTACAATGAGAGGGAAAGGCCAGTCTGTCTGTCCATTAGATGTCGCGGGGTGTAGTTTATGTGCGTTGGAATACTGCTGCAGCGGCAAAGGGAGATTCCTCCATAGCCGTATCCATGGCGACAGCTTCATTCCATCCTGGCCAGCCTGAACCTGGTCTTCCCCTCCCCCGGCCCTCCCGCCATAGCCCTCCCCCCACCGTGCCTGCCAGCTTTCCATGCTTACTGTTTCTGTTTATTCCTTCCCGAATTCTACTGCCGTGCTCTGCTGTCAGTGGTTTTACGAGCGTGATGTGCGGAGAGCTCAGTCATCGCACGTCCTCACTACGCCACTTCCTGGCGTGACGATTGGTAGTGTTGGCGCATATCGGAGTCGCCTGCCTGAGAGGTGTGTGCGGTACTTTGCGTGTGTTACATACTCAGGTGAAGAATGGATTCATTTTCCACTCCCAGCAGAGTCTTGTTGTAGATGGTGGCCGATGCGCGCGGGTACGGTGGATTTAAAGGGCGGCGTGGGGGGGGGGGGGGGGGTGGTGCAGTTGGGGTGTCAGCTGTGGCTAGTGGGAAGTTGGAACAGCTGTAAGTGCCTGAGAGATATAAGGAGACGGAAGAAGCATAGTGCGCAGAATTTTTGCACGTTGTTTCGAATTTTCTCGGAGGCTGGAGATTGGAGAGGGTGAGGCGCGGAGGTGAAGTGCTTAGGGTGTGTGTATTTCTGTTTCTGGAGCGGAACGGGTTGCAGCAGCTTATGTTGTGATCTTTGTTTTTGGTAATGGACTTGATCTGTAGTGATGAGTGGTGAGCTAGGAATTTTCATTGAAGTGCTGGAAATTTCAGACGTACTAGCAATGTGTTGCGTGGCTGTTTGACGCTTGTTAAATTATGTTTTTGCAGTTTAGGTTACGAGTTCTCAAATTTGTGAAGATCTCCTCTAAGAAGCGTTGGAAGGCGAATACATCGGGGAAGGCTCAGCAATCGTTTTAGAGTCTGCAGCCTTTGTGGATTTCTACGTTTAGTTGGAAAGAGTGCATTGGAGGAATCAAGTCATTACTAATTTAAAATCGCTGGCGATTATTGATACTGTTGATTGAGTCGCGGTTTTCTGGACGGATCCTCTTCGCCACGTAGACAAGAAATTTTACCAGCTTTAGCCAAAATTTTGAAATTTGGATAGGATCTGGAGTGACCCAATCGATGCAATTCAGCTCTTGGTTGTAGATTACTACGATCCTTGCATTATGATATTGATGACCCTGCGATGGATCAGAAGGCGATTACTATCTAGTATTTAAGGAACGCAATTATCCAGGAGGGAAGAAAAGGCAGAAAAATAACAGGTGCTGAGATTCAACCAAGCGGAAATCCCGGATGAGTTCACGCCAGAGTAATGGGATGTTCTTACTGCAGAGATAATGACGGGGGAGGCTAATATAGTTTCTACAGCAGAAAAAAATATTCTTCGCCCGCTTCCCGCAGCTGGCTGTGTGTTGAACACATAATTTCCACACTATTACAGTTTAGGCAGTGATTTGGGATCGATGATCTGAAAGTAAGCTATGGAGTCCCGCCCATTTATCAGGGTTGCTGTCTGTGGTCTTGGTCTCCGTATTCCTGTTTCATCTAAAGCATCTCGTGGCGGTGTCCACGCTGCTGCATCTCCTTGTGAATGTGAGATTAGTTTACCGAATTTTCCCACGGAAACGGTTCCAATTATGTTGTTACCTCCTACTTCTACCACAACGCCGGATGTCAATCATGCTGCAGCAAGTTTTTATTTGGATGAGACTGCGCTTGAGAAGCTTTTATTACCTTCTTGTATGCCGCGAAGAACAATACCTAACCTGGAAGTGGCAGTGTTCCTAAGAAAGCAGAAACTTGGCACATTTCGGCTGCCCGTCACACTTGATTGGGCTGAAGGGAAGCCCGCTGTGTTATACAGCTCCTGGACGAGCATCGGTAATGGAAAGGTTGACGGCGGTAAATCTGGCCCAAGTGCCGAGCTTCACGTTGTAGTGAAAGTAGAAGCTGATCCAAGGTACATGTTGCAGTTCGAAAAAGTGACGGCATTGAGTCCTCAGATTATCCAGGTGTCCAGCAAGAACCAACAATCTATCTTCAGCTGCAAATTCAGTCGGGACAAGTTATCACGTTGCCGGTCAGTATTCCTCTTCTTCTCAGAGTTCAATGTGATACTTCCTCTGTTGATATGCTAAGTTTATTTATCTTCAAAGTTCATTTCGTTTGTCAGGATGTATGAATTATAGATCCCAGTTGCATCCCTTATTCATTGTTTTCTCGCTGGACATCTCTATTTTAGCTAATTTTCCCGGTTTGTTGTTTCAGGGTAGGCGCAAGCGACATGTCGTCAAACAGTGCTTGGGGTTCTAAATCAGAGGACAGAGAGAAGCGGAGGGAGAGAAAAGGATGGCTTGTCATGATACATGACTTGTCTGGTTCCCCAGTTGCCGCTGCCTCTATGGTAACTCCGTTCGTTCCATCGGCAGGATCTGATTATGTCGCTCGTTCAAATCCAGGGGCCTGGTTGATTCTGCGTCCAGAGTCACCTGGTGCTGATAACTGGAGGCCATGGGGTCGCCTAGAGGCGTGGAGGGATAGGGGTGGAAAAGATATTGGCTGCCGTTTCCAGCTTATGGCTGAAGGGGGAGGGGTGACTGGTGTTTCTAGTGGGGTACTGACATCTGAGACCATCCTCTCCGCAAAGAAAGGAGGAGATTTTACTATAGATGCAAGAAGGTTTAAGCAGGAGGTCTCTCTTGGACCATCTCCAGTGGAGAGTCCTCGGAGAAACAGCCTTAGTCCTAGAAGCAGTGGAGAGCTTTCCTTTGGTTTGGGTTTACACGCTGTGGGAGAATTCGTTATGAGCTGTGGAGTAAGAGGGGACAGAAACTCCAGCAAACCATTGGTTCAGGTGGCCATGCGCCACGTAAGCTGCGTGGAAGACGTTGCTGTTTTCGTAGCTCTTGCAGCTGCGGTGGATCTTAGTGTGTACGCTTGTCAACCCTTTAAACGTAGGTTACGGAAGGAACTTGCAGAAGCTTTGTCATCTTCCTGAGATGTTGAATACATCAATTTTTGGTAGCTATATTTACCGACTGATCCTTTGATCCCTGCACCTGATATGGTAGATGTTGAGGTTACAGCACTTTCCCTTGGTAGTGCATTTAGAGGTCATGCTTTGGGGCATAATTCAGGCAATGAGCGACATGGGGCTTTGAGAGTATAGTCAAACTATTGGGCTTGTCTGGTCCTGTACTGTATTATAATTGTAGGGACCCACGATGGAAGAAGACGCCCCATGCGATGTAACATGGTGTAAGGTTATTGAAACGTAGGCAACCTCGCCATGCCCCCCCCTGTATTATATAAAGATTCATTGTGAGGCTCTGTTTTTGTTCATCTACTTGTTGCATCTATTCCCTGCTTTCTTTGACAGTTTCGCGTTAAGAACTCATGACCTTCACAATGTTTTCGCCTGAGTGAGGTGAAGTTGCGCATGGATCAATGAAGTAACGGATTGTCGTTTTCTTATGTGAAAGTCAACATACATGGTTACTTCTTATGTTTCGTGCTGTACGTTGCACTACTGTAGAAACCGTTTTCAACAATATGCGAGTTGTCGACCATTCGTGTGTAACAGGTGTGGAATTTAATCTGAGGGTACATGTGAAGATCCGAAGCAAGAACCTGAGTTGCATCAGTGATACCTCCCTGAATATGCAACTAATGTAACTAATGAGATTTTTACGAAGTAAGTCTTACTAATTGCGTATTCATATTTTTATAATTTCATAAGCATAATGAACGAAAACTTTCATTGCATAGGAATGATGGTAATTGACCAAGGGCATTCCAACAATTTCCTCAATTCCTCTTTGTCAGAATAATCAGTTAAAAATGAGTTCCCTGACCTTTCTTCCTAGTGAAAACCATGCCCTACAAATTCCAGAAGTTTGTACAACTTGTATGATGTTAATTTGATGTTTGCAAAACGGAGTCATCTTTCATACTTGGCAACTTGAGTATTGCAAGATTATTGTTGCTTGTCTAGTCATAACATAATTGTGTTATATATATACATATACATTGTCTTATTCTCTATAAAATTAGACATGGTCGAACTGCAAAAACAATTCTCTAAAATTTGTATTAATTTGTAAGAAGATTGAAAAAAACAAAACCAAAAAAAAATCAAAATGGATTTTTAAAAATTTGAACAAATAGGTTTTGCAAAATTTTGTTTACTTTTTATTTTAGTAAGATTACAAATTTAACCAAGAAAAAGACAAGAGATTTCTTATAGAACTAATTTTCTTATAATAATTTTAAATCAATAGAATTTTTAATTAATAAAATTATAACTCAATTCACAATAATTTTAGATATTCAATTATAATCATGTATAAAGTAAGTTAATAATGTGTCTATGATTGCTAACATATAATAATAGACCAATATGTTAATAAAATATATAACTAATTTTGAATTAAATTAGATTAGAATCTAATATACTAACCAATAGTAAGACATTGACAATTAATTGGTTAAGAAGATAGAAAAGAAAATAGGTCAAATTAAGGACTAGATAAGAAATACAACTTAACTAAGTCCAACCAAATTAGAAGAATTTAGATTTAAATTTTGTAAATACTAAGTTCTTAAAAAATGTGTTAAACAACTACTATAGGAAAAAAAAAAGGTCAAAAGTCTAAGGACTACTCAATGTTCATTTAATATTTAGACATTCTTCTTCTTATTTTTTAGAGATTTCTTAGGTTATGGTTGAGTCTTAAAAATGGTTTTGTTAGCAAGTAACATTTTATTTATTTATTTTTCTTCCTATTTCTTAAAGTAGACTTAAGGTGGAATTTGTACCAATCTAAGTTTAGAATTGTATGACAGATTTACAAGATCTCTTTCTCTAAAACCAATTAATTTAATTTAAGATATTATCTCAATATTGAATCTTTTAGATTGTCCTTAAATAAAAGATTCATTGATTGATAATTTATATAATTAAATAATATTTTATATTTGACTTCTTCTATTTTTATTTTTATATATATTATTATTATTATTATTATTTTTATTTCTTGTATATTTAGATGAAGTTGATATTTTTATTAGTTTCTTAATTTTTTCTTAATTATCAAAGATATGAATAAAAAACAACAAAAATTCACCATATACTTATATTATTAAAAAATAAAAAATAATTATTCAAAGATAGCATAATATTAAAACTATAATAACTATTGCCAAAGATAAGAAGATTAGAGACTTTTGAAACAAGACTAAGAATTAGAAAGATATTGACAAGGATAAAAAAGGCTTCAATTTCGTATCTATATGTACTATCTAACTTAGAAATATGTTGTGACATTCTAAAGGACCTCTAATATGTGTCTAACTTGCAAGACAAGTTTTTTTTTACATATGTTTTATATGGTCAATTTGTACCACAAGTCACCAAAATTTGCAACATTTTGCCAACTTGTTGGTTATATTTTCAACTCACTAATCACCTCTAAATATATATAATATCAAATCTATATCTATAAAGCTTGTCCATAAGATATTATCAAAATTATCCATTTTTATTAACTTCTACTTAATTTCACTTCTCTAAGTAGCTATTGGTGTTGGTTATATTCATAACATTTTCCATTCTAAGGATAAGTTCTAAAAGAAGTAGCAAATCATATGTTGAAGAAGTCCAATATGCAACAAATTATATTTGCTACATATTATTATCTTTATTCTCTTTATAGATAATTGATATGTCCTTTCAACTATTGATAGTGTATAATACAAGGATAAAAAGACTACTATGTTATTTGATTATTGTTGAATCATTTGTAACTTCTTTTAAAAAAAACAAAGTGTAACACCATCAAAGATGGATACTACTTCCAATAATATCACCAAATATTGAAATTCTTTTCTAGAGTTGTGATACCACATGTGTTGTATCTCACCATCTATTTCAAAAAGAACATGTCATTTTTAACAATCTTTACTATTAATTCATCTTATAGGTTGTAAAAATTTAAATTAATTTATTTAGTAACTTAATAAATCATAGTTTTTAAGTTAAATTTTCTTGTTTTTTATTCTTCATGTCATTAGCTCCACAGTTATATAAAAACCACAAATAAGAATAAAAGATATAATAAATTCTTTATTAATTTTTAATTTTTAATTTTTTTAATTTTTATTTTAATAATAATGAATTAATTAATTCTTTATCTTGATTTTGATGGATGTTGTTTTTAAAAAATATTAACATCTTTTTTTGTATTTACAAGATTCTTAATTAGCTTCCATGTGTATTTGCTAATATCATATTTGTGCCAATATATAAGATATTTTAACTTATTATGGTGCAGCCTTGAGTCTAAGACTTCTTCATCTTTAAACTCTCAATTATTGTTCACTTCTATAGAAAGAAGTGGCATTTGTCTTCTTTTTAATATATCTACTTTCTTGTATGGCTCAAAAAGAGACACATAAAGCATAAAATTGATTTTCATAGATTCAAGTAATTATAATTGATAAGAAATTAAATAAATCTATTTAAAAATAAAAAATAGTCTAATTTATAATAATCAAACTTATAATAAGATCAAATTATCTTGATATTACAATAAAATAAATATACCTTCTTGCTAACGTCAAATTGAGGTAATTCCTTATGATGGATATTTGTATTGATCTTTTGTCATTGTTGAATTCTTTTTAATTCTATCTTTATTATTGCATGTAGCTTTAATAAAAAAATTTCAAAATCTTCTATGGTATGATTAACAACTATTAAGAAGTCAAACGTATGAAGTTACAGATAATAATCATAATTAATAAAAAAATATATATAATTAAATAGAAAAATGTATTGTGTTATTATAAGCAAACTTTATTAATGAAAAAAGAGTTATTTAATTATCTTGATGGTAGTTGATGGTACATCTCAAATATTGCTTCAAAATTTAATTCATCCACTTTGTTTGTCTATCAATTTCAAGATAAAAAATTAAAGTTAGTTTTTTTCTACCTTCAATATCTAAAAAAGGTCTTCTACAACCTTGATACAAATTAAGTCTTTCTATCTAATATAATATCTTTTGGCAATCCATGATAGTAATAAATATTTTCAAAGAAAATTTTACTTGTTTCTTCACTTAAAAAAGTTTTTATACATAATACAAAATTTGCCATTTTGATAAACCAATCTATTATCACAAATATAGAGTCATATTGCCACAATGTTGTATTACGTATATTCTTGCTGGAAAATGCATGAGACACTTAGCTTTAGAAGGTAAGTAGAAATGTAATAACAATCCTACCAAGTCTAATAGAGTCTTACAAAAACTTTAAGTAATCCTTAATAATCCTAATCAAAATTTAATAAATCTAAAATAAATTTAAAAGTAGTTACAAAAGAAATATAAGAAGTCATAAATTAATCTCAAAAAAAATAATAAAAAATAATGAAGAAATATAAAAATAAAAATTTAAAAAATAATATATTTTTTTTTAAAGAAATAATAAAATCCTAAAAATATATTAAAAATAAAAATCCTAATTAAATCCTAATTGAAATCTTAATTAAAATCCTAATGAAACTTAACCATATCTTAGATCAAATCTTAATAGAATCCTAATGAAATCTTAAATCCTAAAAAACTTCTAATCAAATTATAGATCCTAAAAAAATTCTTAAAAAATCTTATAGTAGATTGAAACCTCAATAATTAATAATCAAATTGTTGATATTGACTAAAAATTTGTATAATTTTCAAAAGCTTATTTGGAAATAAGTACAAGAAAAATTGAGATCAATCAAATATACTAATTGAACAAAATATATGATAGTCTATTTAGAGATTGAATGGCATCATTTTCCAACCTTAATATTGAGCTCCCACTTCCAATATCTTCTTTTTAAACCATTGAATTGATCTCAAAATTCAAAAAAATATTAAAAATAAAATCTATTATGAATATAATTTTTTTTCTCTTCAATCCAAATGGCAGGTTATCAAAGATCTTAAAAACTCTTATTGACCTTCAAATTCCAATTTTTGAGACTTCAATCTACTTAAACTTCAATAAACTTCAACCTAATTATTTGAATAAGCTTAAATTAATTGCACACATTTAACACAACTATACTCACAAAATTACAAATTTTTATTTGTAGAATTATTACAAAATTCACAAAAAAATTTAAAATATTAATTCTATTTTATTTCACAAGAATCAGAGTCATGAAAAATAACCTTGACTTTGCAAAGCTCTTATAAAGTCATTAAAAACTTAAATCCTTCAAAAATAATTTTTAAAAACACTTATATACTTTTCTTTCAAATTTTTCTCTTTATTTGTAAAAGAATACT